TTTTTTGCAAGGTGACAAGAAAGTCACACAATTGTTGTTTTGTTATTCGACTACAATTTGCAAAAGAATTTTACAAAGATCATCAAATCAAAGCTCTTTTCTCTCACAGGATCCTCAAATCAGCCAATATGGTCTTTTATTTCTTTTTCATTTTTTCTTTTTTTGTACAGAAAAAAGTAAAATTTTATTAATGCGGAGTACAATGATACTCTACCCTTTACATACCAATTTATTGTACTAATTAGTACACCAAACCTGTTTTTAACCTCTATTTCTTACACAGACTAACGATCTTTTATTTCTTTCTTTTACTCAACTTTCCTCATTTGAGTTTTCAGTATACAATGTATACAATGGATATGAGCAGGGGACAACCACAAACCGTAAATGGCCCCGCATTTGAGCTTTTCCATTGCAGAACATGAGGCGCAAGATTCCGAATTTAAACAATTGGTGCTCAGTATAATATACGCCCAAACAAGGTATAAACCCGCTACCATTAGTGCGTCAATTCTTTGAATTACATGACCCAAAACCGGATTGAAGCTTTTATGTGCTGACATGGAATATCTTTTGAGATACTCTTCCGACCCCTGCCCTAACCAGTGCTTATCTAGCCAACACTTGAAAGCTAATGGTAGAAAGCAGATGGCAAGCACTACCCAGGTCCCGAGCTTGAGTTCGAAGAGGTCGTAAGCAACCGATCCAGTGGCTCCGACTAGGAAACCAAAGAACCCAAGGTCGGTTCTCGGTCGTATAATTACAAGCAAAATTAAGAACAAGATTGTCATGGTGAGTCCAAAACAGAGGCTAGCCAATGATTTCTCATAAAACTTCTCAAGAAGAGTTCCAAGAATCAAGCATATGAAGTTTGCTATTAAATTTACCTCAACGCCGCATCTTCTACGGGAGAATCCTCGCCCACTCCACCGACTCCACCGTTTCGTATAGCATAGCAGGACGGTGCAGATATGGTACAAGATCGCCGTTTTTATTCCACTATGATCGTATTTTGAACATAACGTCGATTTCTGTAGACACAATGATACGGCGAACAGAGCAACCTGAGCGAACAGAGTAGCTAGTGGCGCGCCGGCTTCTCCGTCCCACATCAGAACGGCGAAAGGTCGATATCCCCATTCCGAAGTTGGAATCGGAACAATCAGATCTCCTGCGTTGGACGAAAAATCAGCCATTTGTGATTGGTTAACTCGGAGATCGATTACTCTACATATATGGTTCGGAAAACGTGGTTTATACGAAAACGGGTCCGAAGTTTCCAAGAAATGCTTAGTTTCCAGGAGAAGTTTTATCTCAGGTTCCATACTAATTCCCAGTTTTTCATTTTTCCATTAATTTTTTTTATACTTTTATTATTTTTAAAATCTTTAATTCCTAAATTTCAATGCCACAATAAAATATCTTAACAATAATTTAAACTTCATTAGTCCTCAAATATTTCAAGAAATACAGGATAATTTGAGACAGAATAATTTTAAAAGTTCACAACTTACTCTTCATCAACAAAACAAAAAATAAATATTTTTTTCATTAAAATAATGATAAATAAAATCAAATTTTAAAATTTAAAATTAAAACAAATAATATAGTATAAATCACATTATTTAAAATATTTAAATATAAATAAGATATAATTTAATAATAAATTTTTTTTATTTTTTAAAATATGTAATATTATATATCAATTAATTTAATAATTCAATTTATACTACATTATTAATTTTGAATTTTCATCCTTCCTCTTATTATTTTTTCCTTTGAAACAACTAAAAGGGAGAAGTTGACCAACTAACAAAGTCACTCTCCCGTGCATCAACAACCAAAGTACGTAGACAAAGTCAAAGGTATTAAAAACAAAGCAACTTATTTCGTGGAAATATCCGGGGCCATACAGCGCCGACTAGAAAGGAAAAATGCAGTTCGTGCTTCTTCTTAAAAGAAATTTCTGTTGTGGAAAAAACGCAGCAGACTGGAAAGAGCTTCCGACAAAGACTTCTCCCTTTTCTTCGAGATTAAGGTCCATATAACAAATGAAAGGGACTTTAAAGAGCCCATAAACAGGCCTTTTTCCGCAGTGATCCAAGTAGTATCTTTTTATGATTTTATCCATTGGTATTTCAAATTAAAACCCTGATTATGAGATTATGATGGGCCCATGAAAATGGAGGCTGGCCCAGTAGTATCTTTTAGGTTTTGTAATTGGATGATCTAAGAACGCAAAGAAAATGACACGGCTTGAAACAGAAATTTACAAGTACAGTAATTTCATGGTTATTGACATCGAGGAAGAATACTCACAACTTCCATCCAAAAACGCAAGAGTTTCAACATTCTTAATATAATCTTTCTTGATGTAAGAAATTGTTTGTATGGATGATCCATTTCCCTCCATTTTGAGGTTGGGCATAAATTTCAAAACAACATTCAAGCTTTTTTGCAGCAGATTATTATGTCAAAGCTGATGATGACATTTACTTGCATCCAGCTGGTATGTAACATTGTTTGCATATAAGTTTAATGCTTCTACTGTTAACTTTGTTGCTAATCCTAGTTTATATATAGTATACCACTCCTGACATTCTATTATCTTTCCCCTCATAATCATATCCTTCCCTGTGTCAATGTTTGCTTTAGTTTTTTTTTTTTTACTCGTTATGATTACTTTGTCACTCTAATTTCCATCAGACTTTTGAGGGAGGATGTTATTTGATTCCTAGTTGGATTGTGATTTAACTTTCTGAAATGCATATCAATGGGAAGGCAGTAGTAATATACCAATGAGAAATGTTCCTTTCCAACGTTGTTTTGATAGAAGATAATGGTGCCATTACTGCACATAATTTTGCAAGCCTGATTTCTTTATACCAAGTACTGCATGATTAGTTTATTTTTAGAACCGTCTGAAATGTGTTACTACCCTCCCCAAATTTGTTGATTACTTTGGAAATTTTCTAGAATTTAATTTATCACAAAATTCAGTATCTTTTGGACTAGTGTCTCATGTATTTAGATTGTGGTAATAAGCACTGGGACCCAATCTTTAAATTTGGTGTACAATCTCAGGTTCATGCAATCGAGCTACGAGACAAAGGGAGCTACACAAGTGATAGATAAGCATCTCTTTGGTGCGAACTTAAACACTCAATACTCTGCTTATCTCGAGCAAGTTATGTTTGTACTCTAAAAGCTGTCTCCAAAATAGGTAATCTCAATGAATTAATGCTATACTCATGGAACTGATCCATTTTTTTCTGGTTCACTGCAACAATGCAGAGAATGTGAAGAACATCAGTATTATTCTTATACAAGCAGATAAAAAGTCCTGCTACCAGACTACCAAGAGATATTGAAGATTGATAAAATCCTATTTTACTCTGATATGGTCACAACATCACTCTTCCCTATTCGGTATATATATGCAAGTCCACAAATTATATACGCAACTCTGTACACCTAACAATATTAGAACTGTTTATATTCAATTTAAAGTGATTGATCTAACCGAAATTAATTTAATTTAATTTAAATTCAATCCAAACTAATATCAAATTAAATTGAGTCAAAATTTAAAATTTTAAAATTGATAAATAATTTAATTTGTAGTTTTATATTTAAACAAATATCTGATTATAAAATAATTTAATTAAATAATATAATATTTTTATTTTTATTTTTTAAATATATTTTCAGAATTTTTTTGTAAAATGAAAATAAAATATATATTTAAAATTTTTATTTGTGTATACAAATTATATTTTAAATTAACATCTCTTGTTTTACTTTTTTTATTTTTTTAGTATAATATTTTTTTATGGTTGTAATATAATATTAGTTGTATTAGTTATTATTATTTTATTTTTATACTATAATTGTTCAACATAACTTAATTGACTTAATTAAAAAATAATTTAGCCTTAAATCATTTCTTATACAAATAAAAGCTCTACTCTAAGTACTCTCTATTTTCTTGAGCGGTAATAGGATGGATTTGCGTATGTCTTGATTACCTTATTTGTTCTTATTTTTCTTGTTGTTGTCTTTTTAATTCTCATTTCAATCAAGAAGTTAGTACTTAGTACTAATATTTTATTATTTAAGATATTATTGTGCTTTATAATTATATTTTCTATAGTTTAATTTTCTTTTTCAGTATATCTAATAATAAATTATATAAGAGGAGATGGTTCTCTCATTTTTTTAAATCCTTTTTCATCCAAATTAAAATTCAAATCTAAGATCTCTAACTTAAAATGTTAGACTCTTAACCAATTAAACCACTCCCTTAAGACATTTTCTATAGTTTAATACTTTAAATTTTTTATCTAATTAAATATATTTAAAATGATGTTAAAAATTAATCAATTTAATAGAACCACACCAATTCAATATAAGTTGAATTAATTTGGTTATAATATTATGGAGAATTGAATTTGTTTAAAAATTTTATTAATTGATTAAAGTTTAATTTTAAAAATATTAAAAATTGATTCAATCGACACTATAAACACCTTTACCTAACATATATCGAGGAGTTCAACTTGGCTTGATCGAAACCTTTTTTCTTTTTCTTTTTCTATTTCTTTTTTTTTTCAAGAGTAGTTATCATAAAGCTTATATTGATAATAAAAATAAAAACGAATATAATACAATTTTACCTTAATTAAAGACACCCTACATAATAACCTACAAATCTTATATATTCCAATAGATATTCTCTAAGTACAAAGTAGCTCGAATAATAAAACAAACTAAAAGATTATAACCAAACAAATATATATGTGGGAGAGCCTGCCTATCCCAAACCTCAATAACGAAGGACGAAGTCACACCGAGGCTCAGCGAAGGGAAGGATCAAGTAGCACCTACTTAAACAGGATAAGAGAACAATTTTTATTTTATTTTTTAAAAGCATTTATTAATAATTAAGAGTATAATTGATATTTATTAATTACTAGAATGAAATCAATCAACGAGCTAAAAATTTTAGTAAAAAAATATATATTTAGGTGTCCATAACATTTTCTTAAGTGGTAATAACTATACTCATTTTTTTTTGTAATGATATGTATGTATAATTTTTTTTATATGA